TGTGTGTGTGTGTGTGTGTGTGTGTGTGTGTGTGTGTGTGTGTGTGTAAATGTGCTTCTCTGACTTTAATAAATATCCCTGGTTTGTTTCTTTTTTATTTCAACAATTTTTAAGAATGTATTTAATCACTTGACAGTCTGATCCCAACCTTCTCCCTCCTCTCCTCACAGTCCCACCCTCAAGCAACCCTCTTGTCATTGCCTCCTCTTCTTCTTTTTAGAGACAGGGAGGCCCTCAAGGGATACCAGCCTACCCTGGCTCCTCAAGTTGCAGTAGGACTAAATGCATCTTCTCCCACTGAGGCCTGACAAGGCTACCCAGCTAGGGAAAAGGGATCAAGAGGCGGGTAACAGAGTCAAAGATAGCCCCTACTCGAATTGTTAGGGGACCCATATGTTGATCCAAGTTCTACATCTGCTGCATATGTGTAGGGGATTGCAGGTCCATGCTTGCTTTTCGGTTGGTTGTTTATTCTCTGTGTGTCCCTATGAGCCCAGGTTAATTTACTCTGTAGGTCTTCTTGTGATGTCCTGTCCCCTCCAGCTCCCTCTATTCTTTCTCTCACTCCCGAGCTCAACTTATTGTTTGGCTGCTTGTCTTTGCATCTGTTTCCATCAGCTGCTGGACGAAGCCTCTCAGAAGACAATTATGCTAGGCTCCTGTCGGCAAGAAGAGCAGAGTATCATCATTAATAGTGTCAGGGGTTGGCTCTCTCCCATGAGGTGGATCTCAACTTGGGTCAGACATTGATTTGTCATTCCACCAGTCTCTGCTCCATCTTAATCCCTACACTTCTTTTAGGCAAGCAAATTTTTCGGTTGAAGATTTTATAGGTGGTTGATATTCTCCTCCCTCCACTGGAAGTCCCACCAGAAACTGGAAACAACCTGGATGTCCTTCAACTGAAGGAACGATAAAGAAAATGTGGTACATCTACACAGTGGAATACTACTCGGCTATTAAAAACAAAGACATCATGCAATTTGCAGGCAAATAGATGGAACTAGAAAAAAAATCATACTGAGGTAACCCAGATTCCGAAAGACATACCTGTTATTTACTGACTAATAAGTGGATATTTGTAGGGTTAGATTTTTCACCAAACCTACTTTATCTGGGGTTCTTAAATGCTTCTACCTCTCTTCCACCCACTGACCAGAGTAAGGGGATATAAAAGGTTATTAGATAAAGGGGTTTGTAGATCTTTTTAGAAGTAGTTCCTTGGGATGAGTCCACTCTTCACTGTCCAGATACCAGCAGTGCAGTCCAAAGGACAACACCAAGCAGCAACACAAATAAGCATGGTTCAGAAGATCCGGACAAGTCAGAGAAAGCCGCAAGACTCAGTGGGATTGCCCCAAGAAGTTCTCTGGAATGTTTCACTCTGTGAAGTCAAGTGTCAAAGCAGGAAGATCAGTGCAGTGATGTTGATCCAAAAAGCAATGGCTCAATGTCCATGGGCTTCTGTTTATCTCCTCTCCTCAGATGTTCTCAGCTGGCCAAAGTCATGCCCTTCACACAAGAGAGCTCACAGCAAAATATCACATGCCCTCTCACAAGACAGCTTGTAGCAAAACATCATATGACTCAACTGAGTCTTCAAAGAAACCAGAAACTTCCACTTCAGATATTAGCCATAAAGCACAGGATAATCATGCAACATTCCACAGACCCAAAGAAGACAAGGAAGGCCCAAGGGAGTATGCTTGAATATCACTCAGAAGAGGAAATAAAATAGACATCTGAAGTAGATGGAGGGAGGGAAGTGGATGAGTGAGGAGGGAGGCAGGATAGCAGGAGTGGGAATCAGGTGTGGAAGGAGAGACAACTGGGAGAGACAATGAAAATTGGTGGGGAGGCATCTCTAGGACAGGGAAAGCTCCTGGGAGTCTGTGAGGGTGAGCCTAGCTGAGGCTCCTAGGAATGGGAGTTAAGGAGCCTGACTGATTTCTTAATGACTGTGGTGACAGTTTTTGCACACAAACCTTCTCACCCCAGTTTAGAGGTTTGCCTATTGCCTCATACTTCTAAAGACAAGAAGATCTGAGAGAGCCTCCTACAGCATGAAAGACATCTCAGAACATTCCCAGAAGTCCAGAGGATTCAGAAGAATGAAGTTCTAAGAAACAGCACAAAACTATGAAAAAATATGTACCAAATCAGGCCACATTTCCCTTCCATGGAGATGAACTTCTCTCGCAGAATCCCCTGCGGTGATGCTAGAACCTATCTTCCTCTCTTTCAGCAATTCTGAAGGCGAGGACTCTCATTCAAGTCATGGGAAGAGGTGATATAACTGGGTATCCCCCAGTCTGTGCATCTGCTACGTGGTCAGATTTCTGGTGTGGGCTCCATGCTTAATTTAAAAGAAAAAAAAAAAAGATCTAAGGCATCATTCTGGTTTCCTAACATCCCAGGCAATCCAGAGAGGAGAGAAGACTGTGTGGGCTAGGGGAGAGAAGAGCGAGGCTGTGAGTGTAGCTGTGACCAGCAGGCTGAGGGATCCGGTACAGAGTTCTGCTTAATTGCACACATCCTTCTATTGTCCCTCCCTCCATGTCAAGTTGGGAGGAGACGCTAGGCTGCCACTGCCTTGTGATATTCCACCCACACTGGCTTTTATCCCTCAGACTTCTTCTTTTTTTTTTTTATTGTGAATACAGAACATTTTACTGTCTTTGAGATGAAATGAATGAATAAATAAACAAATAATCTCTCCTGGTTTTCTTAAGTTCTCCCTGGAAATGCTTATTGATTCTGTTATTCCTTTTAGCTCTTGTTATAAGAATAAATAAAAAAAAATCTTCCCTGTATCCCCTGGGTTATCATTGTTAGCTCAGGGTGTGGGTAGGAGTTTAGAAAATAAGTGTTTTGTTCATTTGCTCATCTCTCTCTTCTCACCCCTGGGGGCCGCTGACTTCAGTTCCTTCTGTCATAAAGAAGCCAGAAAAGGCAACCTTCTTCCTTTTCAGGGCTCCCCAAGGTAGGGAGAAACCCCAGCTGTCAGTGTGAGGATACAGCCACAGGATAAGGATGGGCGTGGCCAGCATCTCACCTCAATTAAAATGCTTCTGAATTCTGTATGACATAACACTAGGGAAGCCCAGCCTCAAACCTAAAAAAAACTCTGAGACTCACTTTTTACAACTTGATAAAAGCTATTTCTGACATGTGGTGAATGAGTACCATAACCAGATTTTCTGCTCTTTGGCCCCGTAAGTGAGAGGAGGCCTCTCTGCCTTTTTCTGACTCAGTCATGCTATCCATGCTGGACAATTTTACCAGTCTCAACTACCTGAAGAGCACTGCAAGGGATGAGGAGGATTAGAAAGGAGCAAGTGGAGACAGAATTTCAGACCCTCTGGGGTAATTGCTACGCTACGCCATTGCTACCTGGTGTGAGGATACCTGTAGATTCATAAAGAGTGAAGAGGAAGCAGCTAGTGGCAGAATACTAGTGGGAAGCGGTAACCACCTGTTATGTGTGTCCACGCAGATTTACCTACACCCTCGGAGAAGGCATGTGGCTGCCCCTCAGTAAGAGCTTCGTGATTCCACCAGCTGAGCTGGCCATCAATCCATCAGCAAAGTGTAAGACCGACATGACTGTGATGGAAGATGCAGTGGAGGTCAGGTGAGTCTCAATTCAGGGTTGCTTAGAAGATGGAGTGAGAAATTACCTGAAGGTACCAAAACTTGGTGCTGCAGGGTGAGGATGGGGGTGAGGGTAGGGAGGTTATAGCAAGCTGAAGATGGCAAGCTGCCTTCAGGTTCCCCATATTCACAGCCAGGATCCGCTCTTTATGTGGGTCAATATTGCATAACCGAAGGCTCATTCACTGGAAGGGAACATAAAATTAGAGTTTGTAAGCACTTCCCACAAACCTCAAGGACTGACAGGCAATAAAATTTTAATTTCTTTGCCTACATTCAGATCTCCTTCTTTGACCAGGCATTATAGCATTGGCTCATTTCCCGGATACAGCAAATGCCCATGATTTGTTAGGTGAAGACTTTGAGTATGGCTAATCTTGAACTTTTATGAAAGAGAGGGAAACCAGAAAAGGCAGACCAGACTGGAACATGGAACGTAGGAGCACTTGTTGCATTTGGAATCCCTTGATTCCTCCATTGCTTCTTCATACAGAGAGGAGCTGATGACATCATCATCCTTTGACAGCCTGGAGGTCCTCTTAGACTCCTTTGGGCCAGTGCGAGATTGCAGCAAAGATAATGGAGGCTGCAGTAAGAATTTCCGCTGCATTTCGGATCGAAAGTTGGACTCTACTGGTTGTGTGGTATGTTGTTTTTTCCATCCTAGAGTTTCCTGTATGGGGTTGAGGTGTGATAACACATGATACAATCATACAGAAGAATCTGTGACCAACATCTAATCTAAATTGAGAATTTTTCTCTCAATGGAAATGAGGAGTAAACCAATCCATCAAAAAGTCCTCACAGTGCACACTACGTGTTCTAGACCTTTCTGGATAAATTCCCATAGCTGAATAGTAGTCTTTCCAGTCTTACAAAAAAAAGTTGATAGCTATTTGAAAGCTAATAAATTGCTTCAACAAATAACATTGGCTCCAAGCCTAACAGGAAATTTTAGAAGAAACCCATCCAAAGCTAAGGAAATGAAAGAAGTAAGTTATGCTAGGAATGCTATGGAAAAGCATAAACAAAAATGTGATGGGAAGGATAGAGAGATGACTCAGCTGTTAAAGGCTAAGACTGACAACAAAAACATTCCCAGCACCCATGCTCACCCCTCCAGCTTCCTCTCTAGAGGCAGGCATCTCTGAGAGGTCAAGGCAGACCTGGTCTACATAATGAGTCCTAGGCCAGCCAGGGCTATATAGATACTGTCTCAAAAAAAAAAAAGTTATTATTTGGAGATTATCTCAAAGAACCCCACTTCTCTAAAAAGTGGGTGTCTGGTTTGGTTTGTTTTTGTTTTCAGATAGTCATACCTTCTTTAAAGGGTTAGAGGAAGGGGATGCTGGGTCAGGGAAAGCTGTTGGGGAAGATGTTCAAAGTGAGAACAGAGAAGGTAGGGAATGTTCAGTGAGATGTACAGTTCTGCAGTGTTGGTTTGGGAGAAAGGAACAGGAGCTTCCAGCCCTGTGGAGGTTATGGTGCTCCATTTAACTTCCCATTCTGACAGCTGTGATGTGGGAGAGGACCCAGAGCATGGGAAGCTGTGTGGATGCAAGCCAACACCATCTTTTATCCTCCTTCTTACCCAACTCTGAGCATCTGTCCTGTTCAGGGAGACTGTTCAGTGTCATTGATGAATGTCTATCTGGTGTCCCAGGTACAGTGGCCAAGCTGGTACTAAGTGAGCTGCAGCCAGGAGGTGTCTGGCTTGCCTCAGAGAGATGTGGACATGGAAAAGAGCAAGGCGAGGTAAAGTTGTAGGACTGATAGGATAAGGTGACAGATACCCAAAGAGGACAAAGAACAGGGTGGTGCTTGTGGAAATGCAAAGGAAAGTACTTGTTAGGTCATGGCTTCCGTGGGCAGCCAGGAGGGGAGCTGCTCAATGCTCCTCAGAACTCTCCTCCTTTGGCGGGTTCTACTCACCTGGGATCCCTGGGAGATAATTTTACTGCTCAAATGAGCTCCAAAATGAGGCAATTTTGTTTTTCCTCTTTTATCATCCAGTCTGCCTCTCTGTACCCTGACGTCAATTTTTCATTCCTTATTATTTTCTGGGGCCACATGCATCTTCATGATCCTCCCTTGCCCATCCTCCTTTGCCACCCACACGTGATTTGAATATTCATACAAAGGAATTGACTCCCTCCTTTTTGCTACTTTTTCCTATCAGGACCCTTCCTGCAGGGGTAGGGGTTGCCTTTCAGGTGCCTTCTGTTGGGCATCCTTGGCCTTTCACTTGGCGTGTACCTGCACTGATGGATTCCTACAGTTTCCACATTGTAATCTGTGAGACGGAGCTAGCAGAAATAGTCCTGATGAATATGCATTTGCAGAATTGGAGCCACCGCAGAAAGTCACCCAATTATACCAGTACTTTATTAGCATAATTCTTTGAAGTCACCGCTCCACGTGGCTCCCAGAGGAAAAGGGGCCAAGTCAATTGGCAGACACATTCCACTAACTGTTTCTCATTGGCTGTGAAGCATATGATCCCTGAGTAGAAAGGTGGAGTTTGAGATAGCTCATACAGCATACTCTGAGGCTTGTGACCCTACTGAAAAGATGATTAAGGATCTGACTTTGATCCTACTGGGCATCTGTACTGTTTCAAAGTCTTAGTGTGTTAGCAAAGTGGTCCTTTGTCAATCTGGAGTTGGGCCAGAGGCAAAGATAATCTGTACCCACTGCAATTTGAGAATTAGTCCAGCTCTGCACATAGACCCTTATTTTCAGTCTTCTACGTGTTGAATGGAAAGACTTCCATTCAAGAAAGATGTATTTTTATAAAAGGAGGGAAAAAATGAGAAAAAAAGGAGCACACTGGACCTTCAGGAACCTGGGAAAGAGTCAGAGGTATGGACTTCACTGAAGATGCAGCCGCATATTTTTCTAATTTAAACTCAAGCCAGGCCGGTAGGATTCATATTACATCCACACCGGCTACACAACCTTTATTCTTTCTAGGAAGCCCTTTTTAGTTATGCATCAGCTCCCAGGGGGTTAATCGCCACCAGTTCATTATTCTAATCTTTATGTAGTCTCTGAGGACAGGAAACAAATACCTGTGAAAGGCATAGCCTTGTCAAACCTTAATGCACTATTACAAAATGTGCCTACTCTCCAACAACCAGGGACTGTGAAGGCTTCCAGAGGGTTCCCTGAGCGCAAGTCTACCGCCCATGACTGATGGCCTGACCTTATTCATTTTCCTTAAATTCTCTTGCACCAGGCACCGACATATTGTTGCTGAAACAAATCACGCTGATTTTAGTAGATTAAAGCCCTGCAAATCTATTATACTGCAGTTCTACATAAGAATTCAGGATGGGTCTCATTGGGCTGAAATTAAAGGTTAGCCGGGACTGTATTCCTTTCTGAAGGTCCTGGAGAGAATTGATTCCTCGGAGAGAATGATTTCTTCAACATCTAGACTCCACTTTTCTCAATTCAGAGCTCTATTGGTCTAGTCCTCTAAAGCCAGAGGTATTGTACTTTTCTAACCATTATTGTGTAGCATATTTTTCTTCCATTATAGATTCATCTTCTACTTTTAACAACTCCTGTGATTATATTGAGCCTCTAAATAATTTAAGATATCCCTTCATCTCCAGATCCTTGGTTTCATCATATCTGTAAAGACTTTTTTGGACATGTAAGAAGATATGCTTCTACATTCCTATGATTTTATTACAGACAAATTTGGATGAGCCATCTATGAATAATGACAGTGGAAATTGAGTAGACTTAGCAGACAAAACTCCAGCATCCCACCCTGCCTCAGTTTTTATGTGAGCTCCCTTATTGTTTAGTGTGTGTGTGTGTGTGTGCGCGCGCGTGCGCACATTCATGTAGGGGGCTAGAGGGCAACATCGGTTATCTTTCTTAATCACCTTCTACCTTATTCTTTGAGATCTTATTCCCTGAGATCTACCTTATTCTACCTTATTCCCTGAGATCTCTCACTAAACTGAGATCTGAGGAATTCAATGAGACAACCTTGCTGAAAGCCATAAAGCCTCAGGGATCCTTATATGTATATCTCGACATCCGTACAGAGTAGGTTTTCATTTTTATGGGTGTTGAGAATGTGAACTCACATCTTCCAGCTTGTGCAACAACCACTTCACTGACTGGTCCATCTTTCTAACTCCCTTCATTCTTGTCAATCCTGCCTACCAAGATTCAACAACAACAACAACAAAAATGTGTCTTGAAAGTTAGAAAATTACTACCACTGCAATACCACAAATAAAAGAGACAGGAAAGCTAACATTTCCTGCTCATCTGCAGTCTCACATTCCTGCTGAAAATGTCCAACAACTTCTTTTACTTTGTTAGATGTTGAAATAAATTAGGTAAGTAGACTGCAGTCATGCAAGGAGCAGGGTTGGCTGTCCTGAGTGCTTGTGCATGGAACACATGACCTTCCCTGTCTGATCATTATGCTCTAATGAATGTTGAATTGCTCAGTGACCCTGATATCCTTCCTCCACATGCTTTCCACTATGCTTTTCCATATCATGTGTCATTTTACTTTTGCTAGAGAACACATGTACAGAGACCATTAGAAATGAACATCTTTCTCTCCCTCTGTAGGACAATAAGTAAATGAAATACACTTTAGAGGTTTCCAGAGAAATGAGGGCAGAAAACTATAGCAGCCTGAAATATAAATTTAACTCCATCACACTTTTCCCTTTGGGAGAAGTCCTGCATGGCTTGAACCAGCATGTCAAAGCCCATCAAGCTATTGTGGAAATCATCACTTGCAAAATGAATGAGATTGCCACATAGTCCAAAAGAACCTATTTCCAGAAGGAAAAGTGGTCGAGGGGCTTATGAATCATCCAAGTAAGGTGAGGCAGGCTAGGCTGCTGAAATCTGTCCCTCTTCTCCCAGGGGACTCAAATAAGCTCGAGCATCCATCACTCATATCCATCTGGCAACAGAGTATCTACTTTGTAATCTGGAACTGAGATGTCTGTGGTCTCCAATTTAGCCTCCTGAGTAATTAATCAACCAAAACTCATTGGTAGAAAAAGGGGGAAAGACAGCAAAGAAAAGGACTTGAATGGGGAAAATCATTTTAATCTCATTAGCAAATTATGCCTTAGACCAGTAATGAGTCAAGAAGCCATGAACATCTCATGAAAGATGATTAACCTTGTGTATTTTAGGGGTCACTGAAATATGAGCTCATTTATTAGACCTTCCTGGTGGGGAGGGCTACAGCTATAATAAATGGAGTTTTCTTACTAAGCCTGTAGTTCATAAAGTCCCTTGGACTGCTAACTGTAACCTATGCAAAGTGAGGTTAATATATGACTTTGGGGCTCTTTCCTGGGCAAATGGTTCTTATTCAAGGACCAAGTGAAAGGATTGTCCACAGCCAGGAGAGAACACCCAAGCCTTGCCAGCAGAAAATGCAACTTCTATAGACAAGAGCTCCTCAGATTCCTTGGATGAGGCTGTACCTTCTTCCAGAAGTAGGGCCACGGTTGACTGTAGCCTCTCTTTGTATTCAGATCAAGATTTTTTTAACTTTTATTAATTACACTTTATTCACTTTGTATCACCCCCCAAATCAAGAGTCTTGAGGGAACCTGAAATCTGAATGTCTTAACAAAGGAAGACACATGAGAAACCAAATTTAGTTCATGGATGCTTGAATGATTAGCTGTCTGGGGAATGGGTGCTCTGGACAGCAAGGGCTATGAAGAAGTTTCAGTTTTTCAGTTCAACATTTTTTTTCCCCTGGAACTATATATCTAAAATGCACTAAACTGCCACCCAAGTTAGTTACAGTACAATAAAGATAATTGCATCTTTCTCAGTGACTGAGGATCTTGTTTTGCCTTCCAGGTCATCACTTTGGATAGCTTGCAGTGTTTTGTCCCAAAATAGTTCCACTAATAACATGGTGTGTGTGTGTGTGTGTGTGTGTGTGTGTGTGTGTGTGTGTGCGTGCATGTGTGTAAGAAGAAATGAAAAAAAATAGGCTAAATCTATAAGTCCATAATTGATCTAAGAATATACTTCAGAAATAGCTTAACACAGTCAAATAGTAAATATACAGGGTTGTTTTACATTGTTGATGCTTTACTTTTATTTCTTTCAAGGAATCCAGATTTTATCACAGGTGGGCAGCCAAATGTCAGAAACACACAAGCTTTGGAGTCAGATCTAGGTTCAAAGTCTTGTTCTGTCATTTTTCTACCACGGTGACCTTAAGTAAGTCTCTTTGTTGCCACCTATAAAATTGAGAAGACAACATGTACCTGCATTGTTGGGACTACAGAAAATGCAATAGATAAAAATAGGCTCTAGAAAGAATTGCCCAATTCACAATAGCTATGGTTATTATTTTTAGCTTTACTTTTAAGAAAAATAAATCCAGTTTGGACAAAACAGTTAATGCTATCTTCTCTCCAGCTCTTTTGAGAGAATCTGAACATCAGGTGGTCCAGTTTGGAACAGTCATGGTCATCTGGACATAAGGCCAGGCAAGACCTGAGTATGCCAGGACATGGAATTCTCGAACAAAGCCTGCTCTGTTTCATTCAGTGAAGTCTTTGTCAAAAACTGTGCATGATGGAGTGTTCTGAAGAAAAGCAGGTGGCTGTAAAGCTGGGGAGTCCTGGCTGGAAGCTGATAGAGCTAGCTGGTGGGAGGGTTGAAGTCACGTGTTTAGCAGGACAACTGGCATTATCTCTGATTGATGGCTTCTAACAGGCTTCATGAAAGGTGGCAGGGGAGGGGGGGACAACTCCTGGCCACTACTATAAGACATTTAATTCCAATGATACTTTGTTTCCATACCCAAGTCAAGATTGGGCAACCACATGGTGCCTAAGCCAGTCCCCACCACCACCCCGTGACACATCTGGCTTAACAGCTGGGTGGCCAAAAAGTCTGATGGTTCCAGGGGGTGCTAACAAATCGTGGGGTGCAAGCCTCAGCTTCTGCATTTGCCTGTTTGCCATCATAACCATTATGGGGAACATCTGGGTGGGCACCACAGGGAGCAGGCCCTTGGAATTGGCTTTAAATGCTGCCACCTTTCAACATACCATCTGCCTTCTTGGGAAAGGAGGTGGACCAAGCCGGGGGCCTGGCAGGTCCTGGGGGGGGCATTTGTTTAGGAAATTGCAGAATTAGTGTCAGTAAACAGTGCATATCCTGCTGTGATTTTTTGACTGAGGAAGGAGGAGGGAGGAAGAGGGGGCTTTTCAGAGACACATCTGCAGAAGCACTAAGCTCCATGCTAAGCCAAGGTGCCTGGCAGGAGAGAGAGAGAGAGAGAGAGAGAGAGAGAGAGAGAGAGAGAGAACAAGCCAGGCAGTGGGGAGTGAAGGGAGACATGTCACAATGTGCCAAGTTTCAGATGTTTTGTTTGGGTTTTGGAGCGGTGTGCTTGCAAGAGATAGACAGATAGATGATAGATAGGTACATAGATACATACATGAATACATACGTACATACATAGACAAATTAAATAAGTAGGTGATGGATGGATGGATGGATGATGGATATATAGGCAGATAGATTGATAAATGATGGATTATAGATAGACAGGTAGCTAGATACATGCATACAGACATGGATGGATTGGTGGCTAGATAGATATTGCAGTCACTGAAATTCTGAGTTTCAGAATCAAATCTGGATGTACTCTCAGATCTGCCTCATTCTAGGTGTTCAAGTCTGGTTCTCATATTTCTCATATCTTCTGTCCGGCCTGTTAGAATCAGTGTTAATATCAATGCACAACATCTTCACACAGACAAGGAGCCAGGTTACAAAAATTAAAAAAAAAAAAAAATCTTAGAGAGTCTAGAACAAGGTAAGGGTTTTTCTTGTCCTAGAATGAGGAAAACACAGGGTGTTGGGAAAGAATGTAGCACAGGCTCAGGGTTCGATAAATAGGTGTGTCCCTCAGAACCCGAGTGTGACATGAGGAGATGACAGAACCACGCAATCAGGATGCCACAGCCACTATGCCAGGGATTGAAGTGTGGACCAGTGTGGACCAGCTCTGATCGTAGGAGTCCAACAGTCTGTGTCTCAGCTTCCTCCGATGGGTCACATTCCTCACCACATGGGGTGTTCTGAGGGTTGGATGAGACAATGAGGTAGGCCACGGTGCTGGGGCTCCCGTTGCTCCATGACCTTTGCGGGGATCTGAAATCTCTGTGAGTTCCTCCTTTGCTGTCACCTTTTTGGCTATCAGGAAGTTGACTGAAAACAATTAGTGCAGAGGAGCCCAGGTTTCACGTTACGACTTGCCACACCCAAGCACAGTGCCCGTGGGTGCTCACGCAGCAGATGTTGCCAGCTGTGTTGCTCCCAGAGGATGCCTCTGAGACATCAGTGCGGTGAGCCCAGGATCTCCCACTGTGAAAGCCGTCGAGCTCCCCTCCAGGGGCTACAGAAACAGCCTCCTTTACCCTAAGACTGGCAGCCCTGGCTCACTCCATCTCCCCAACATTGCCAGCTGGTACCAACTTTGCTAAAGTGCCCTCTTATTTCGGAGTTCAAACAGCACCGCTGCTCTCCCGAGTCCACAGGAATCCCTGCTTAATGCATTTTAATCCTGGCCCACTACTTCCCTCTTCTGCCAGCTTGCTCTGCCTTGCCACAAAGCTCCATGCCAGCTTACTTCAGAGCCAGAGGCTTAATGCAAATGTGGATGAATTGTGCCCAGACAGAAGCAGAGAGAGAGAGAGAGAGAGAGAGAGAGAGAGAGAGAGAGAGAGAAAGAGAGAGAGAGATGGGGAGGGGACTTTTTACTTTGCTTCTAAAAGGAGACAAAGGGGCAAAGGGGATTCCCGGATTACTTTATAGGGGTAATAGTCTTACATGGAGTGTGTCAGTGACTGCCCGCGGATCTCCTGTTTACCCTCTTGTGTGGATTCTTTCTGGGTGTGCCAGTGTCCTTCAGGACTCAGCCCGATGAAGGACAGCTCAGGCTGCTATGATCGCCACATAGGGGTGGATTGCTCAGATGGTTTCAACGGCGGCTGCGAACAGCTGTGTCTCCAGCAGATGGCGCCGTTCCCGGACGACCCCACCTTGTACAACATCCTCATGTTCTGCGGGTGAGTTTGGAGCAGCCCTGAGGTTGCTGAGCTGAGAGACTTTGGGAGCCGAAGCCTTCATGGGTCCACTTGAATGGACTGGTCACTCCCTAGGCTCCAAGGAGAGAGCTGGTAGCATAGGATGAGAACTTTGATAATCTAATTTAGAAGAGCCTTCGGGCAAGTCTAGTCCGGTGGCAACAGAAACACAGCCTCTGGCTTACCTGAAAGAGAAATTTAACCACATGGTTTACATAAATCATTACCTAATTAAGCCAGGACGCTCCAAGCTAAGCCTTAGAAGAGTTAGGTTAGTGATATGTTTTGTGACGGAAACTGTTCCCATAACTCAAAACTTGAGAAAGATAAACCACTAGATTATCAAAGGGTGGTTTTAGAAGAAAGAAAACTTCAAATTCTGCTTCTTAAAGCCCCAGCGTTTTACACATCCCGCTTTCCTCCCGCAAGGTCGTTAATTCCTCGGGGTATAACGCTCTCACTGTGACCAGCCCTCTCCCCCACCCCCGCGAGGGATCAGAATGGGCAATAACAGCCCACTTCACAGATGAGAGAAGCAACGTCCGAGAAGAGTGAACTGTCTCCCTCAAGACAGGAAAGTTAGTCAACAGGAAGGCTAGGAGCAGAATTCAGGCCCCTTTCTGACTTTTGAAAAGCTCTGCAGTTTTCTAAAAATTTAAATTTGTATCGCCGAGTGGAATGATCTTTAAAGTCATTTTCATGCTATATTTATCAAGTACATAAAGAGTTAGCCAATTCTGCCATGCCCATTGATTGCTTATCTATCCTTTCCGCCCTTCCCACACCCCCTGCTTCTGTCCGCTGCTCTCCTGCCCCATCCTGCTACTGGAGGTCAGTCGGGGCGCGGCACACCGCGCCGACCACTGAGCTGCCGCACAGGGAAGCAGCAGTTAGGTTTGCGTCCTCAAGGATGGCAACATCTCATAAGCTTGCAACAGAAATCGATGTTTATGGTCTTAAAACAATGTTACAGGCTTGCTAAAAGCCAGTGCCTGCTGAGTAACCACGAGAAGATTTCCAGTGCTCTTGTAATGTTATTTTATTGTATTTTATCTCACTTCTTTGCAATTGAGCCATTTCGGTATGTAGTTTCTTGTAAAATCCCATTCCATAAATAGAAGCGTGCCCTAAATTTTAATGTTCTCTGTAATGTTCCCATTAAGATTGACCCACTTCAATTAATGGAAGTAGATGTAGCCGAGGTTGCATCTGTTTTTATTTACTTGTATATACATTTCATCACCTGCTCGTGCAGAAGACCTAGTTAGATCTTAGACACAAGGGCAAGAGCAGTGATGCCCAGCCTGCAATCCCAGCTCCAAGAAGTTTACTGTGTAATAGTTGGACAGAAGAATGAGAAATGGGACCAGGTGGAAAAGACAGACCGTTGTCAAGATGTTAAGACGGACTGAAATGGAGCCAGCCAGCTTTAAGGCTGTCACCCAGACTGTGTGGTTCATATGGCTAGAGGAAGGATCCATTTCAAGGTCTTATCAAAGACCTACCCTGAGTCGTGGAGTCAGTTCTCTCTGGGTCTTGAATCATATCTGTTCCCTGGACAAAAGCTGTAACTTTTCACTGGACTTTCTGGTTTCAGTTAGAATTAGGCACGTTGATTAGGGTTGCCCGAGGCTGCCTGCCAGGGAAGTTCTGATTTTAGATTTTTCTACAGAGGGGAAACCACATTCACTTACAAGAGCTCCATTCACACCTGTTAGCACAACTGTATAAATGGGAAATGGGAAAAATTAGTAGTGACAGTTGTTTGCCCTTGGTCCTCATTTGCACTTCTGCGAGTGGTGATAGCACTAACTGTACATTCAGCATGATGTAGGCTCTAAATGTTTAATGTATGAATTAATTTCCTCAGCACACTAGTGTAACAGCTACTACCCTTGCCCTCCCTGCAGTTTTGGAAAAAAAAAATCTCACGAGAGTTTAATACACTGGCCCAGAGCTACCCAATTAAGGACAGCATTTGTGTTATTGCAGTATTATGTTTCACTTTTTTTTAAAACTATGATCCTTTGTTCCTTTATAAAGGAGTGGATTTTTTAACTTATCACAATTACTACAGATAGTGATAAATGATGTTCTCAGTATCATAACCATGAAACAGGTTAATATCAAATGTGCTTAATAGTATTTTTATATGAATTAATTCTTAAAATTTTTAAATTTGTTCTATTTCTAAGGAGAGAAACAAATCTTTAATAACAGTGGCAGCCTTATTAAAGAACTAAGTCTAAATTAATTAAGCCTTACTTAATTGTTAACTTACTTGAGTTAAGGAGTGTATCTTAGTCATAACATAACTCCAAATACAGTCCAATTAATGACTTGTGAGTCACTGACCCGTGATTACTAAATTAGTATCACTTTCCAATTAGAGCAATGCAATGAGGAGAGCCCCCACTGAGGAGGCAGTTTTTTTTTTTTTTTTTTTTGTCCATAGAGCACATGGTAGCCCTGGCATCTATTTAGTTTGGGATGTCACTGCTGAATGGAGGGCTGTTTGTATGAGTTTGCTAATTTGTTTGTATGTATTCAGTCAGAACACAGCTACATCATAAATCTTCCTCATTTCTTAGTTGACTTGCCACAGGACCAGTTTAGAGAGTTATTTCGTAAGCACAGTATCACTCTTTTGCCACCTAATTACCCTACAAACAAAGGCAGAAGCTCCACAGAATGTTCTTCAGATAAATGCTGACATACCTTATATTTAAGGATGTTAACTCGTTTATAAGCTCATCTCCTCTAGTTCTTAACTTTGACTTGAAAGTTGTAAGGCTACAGTAGGTGAATGATCCCAGGCCCTTAAAGGCTCATATTTTAGGGAAAGGTAAATTGAGTTTTACTACAACAAAATCAAAGTGGATTATTTTCAGTTTGGGGCCATCCAACGTTTTTCCAAAGGCATTGCTTCCTGATTTGTTGAGTTTCTTGGTCTTTATGAGGCACTGACGTCTAACTTCTTGAGTTCTCTATCCTGTTAGGTGTATCGAAGACTACAAGCTTGGTGTGGATGGACGATCTTGCCAGCTTGTCACAGAGACCTGCCCAGAGGGTGGTGACTGTGGGGAGAGCAGAGAGGTGCCCATGAACCAGACTCTCTTTGGGGAAATGTTCTTTGGCTACAACAACCAGTCCAAGGAAGTAGCCACTGGACAGGTGCTAAAAGGAACGTTCAGGTGAACTTCATATGCATAGAGCTGAGTTTCCAGGGGCGTTGTCCTCTCTGAAGATCCTTATTGTCAGCATAATGTTGTATATCTTGGATCAGGATCAATAAAATATACGTAAAGGCACAGATTGTGGTGTTACGCACAATGCTGTTGAAGTCTACACTCTTCATTAAAAAAAATCCAAGACACGTGCTGTTTCTGGGTATATGTAAAACCTTAAACAAAGTCTTACCTTCAGGATTTTACATTGAAGTCACACTGAGATGTTCTAGTTCCACTCTACCTCCAAATCTTAGAACCTGGCTTAAGTGAGTCTAGAACAGTAGTCCTCAGAGTATTCTCAAAGGATTTTGGGATATCACTGGACCTATTCAGGGAGTACCCAAGTCCTATCTATTAGAAAGTTGTTTCCTCTATATACTCTAACAAAAGCAGCATGTTGCAATAAGTTGGATTCCGTTGCAAGAATCCAGTTGTCTTCTATTAATTAAGACATTTAATACAAAATAATGTCATTCTTCTCTTTCCCATGAAACAATGTGCTTAATAGTATTTTTATATGAATTAATTCTTAAAATTTCTCTTTTAACTTCTAACATGGTAAATATTGACATTTGTGATAAGAGCCAATTATTTGGGACATTTAAGATTATAAAACAGTCCTGAGGACAAAATATTTTGAACCATATGTTTAGAAAATTTGAGAAATTTCTTGTTCTTTTTGGGGGATATTTAAATTCTTTTTAGAACCCGTGGGAATATGTTTTCTATGAGATGACGATGATTATCATGATGATGATGTCAATATTCTATCATGAAACATGGCTTGTTAGCAATCTAAGCCTATATTCTTGGTAACAAATTGGAGACAAATTTTCAAGACAGTTCTTGTATTCAGTTCCTGTTTCTCTTATGAACAGGAGTCTTTACAAGTTTTTTTGTTTTGTTTTTTTCTATCAATGGCATTGGTTTACTAGGGCAAGAATTGTGGTGACCAGAATTGATCTCGTGATGGCCAGAGTACTCTCTGTAGTCTACAAATATAACTGAGATTATTAATATCTTGTAAAGAGGGAGTCGGAGAGGAAAAATTGGGGTGGAGGGAAACCTTCTCTATCTGCCAATAGACGGTTTCCAGCTGATTTGCCTCTCTCCTCCATGTCTCCCCTTACCTCATCTGACTAAGTCATGTCATATGTACCAAATGAGTCTCAAGGTGAGGCATGACTTTTAGTCCAAAAGGACTTTTTACAGCGCGTTTTAAAATGTCGACTGCATGCATGTCGAGGAGCACCATGGATACTCAGACAATGAAGGTCTGCTCTGTTTCTAGACAAAGCAACTTTGCTCGTGGTTTAGACCAGCAGCTGCCAGATGGTCTTGTGGTGGCCACTGTCCCACTGGAGAATCAGTGTCTAGAGGAAATCTCAGAGCCCACCCCTGACCCTGACTTCTTGACTGGTAAGTGCGCCTTCACTCTTCCAGACAAATCCAGACAGCTGTCTATAGTCTCTTAAAATCACAGCACTCACTTGACCATGCTCAATTTTTTTTAAAGATGTATTTATGTATATGAACATTCTACTTGCATGTATGCCTCCATTGACAGAAGAAAGCATCAGACAGGAGAGGGCATCAGATCTCATTGTAGATGGTTGTGACCCACCATGTGGCTGCTGGGAGTTGAATTCAAGACCTCTAGGCAAGCAGCCAGTGCTCTTAACCACTGAACCATCTCTCTAGCCTACTTTTTTAAAAATAAACAAATGTAATAATTATTTACTTATCTTGAGATAAAGTCTCTCTACACAGATCTGGCTATTGTAGTACTCACTAGTTAAACCAGGCTGGCCTCAACCTCAGAGATTCACCTGCCTCTGCTTTCCCAGTGTTGGGATTAAAGGCATGTGCCACCACGCCTTTTGTTTCTAAACTAGTCATTTCATTGAAACATGGTAAATGATCAGTTATAAAATCACACACTATTTGGATTAATTGTCAGTAAAATTGTCAGTACTATGAAGTGGCTGTGATAATTCTTTTTTGCTAAATATTATAGGAATTCTTCAGAAAAAAAGTGTCACAATGGAGGCATATGCATTCAGAGGTTTTGGTTGGTTAAAAGAATGTAGGTCATGGAGGCAGAGAGAAGATGGATTGCACTTATCCCCTAAGCATGCATTAATAGCGTGGCTGAGTTTCCTGCAAAGAACTTATGGAGCAGTGAGATGAGACAGTGACTGGCAGTTTTGTTACCCAGAGACCCTGTGTTTGAATCTGGCTGTGTCACATGAAGGCCTCTTGATCCCTCACCATGTGAAGGAGACAATAAAGCCTGCATCTCTGTTCTTCAATTCCTTCTCTTGGCCTATGATGGACAGAGACGTAGCTTGGTTAGCAGAGGCAGGGCCCAGAGGGTATGCCATTTCTTTCCAGGTCCTGGCTTCTGCCTAGAGCCTCTTTGAGCTACAAAGGTGGACTTCAGGTGCCCTATGAACTAGAAAATCAGTGACTTGGGATTTAGCATCACTTGCTAGAACAATATGCATGAGCTCAATTTCATTGATTATGCTTTCTTAGAGTCCTTCCTTATCCTTCGGCCTTATTCATTCTGTCTTCCTTATTCTATACGTTCTGCCTCTTTTTCTCCATTTTCTAGTGAACAGCTGAGCATAAGCTTTCAGCAGCTCCCGGGGATTACAGGTGGTTCTTTCCAAGGCAATGAAGCGAGTAACTATTAGTGTGGGCTCCAGAGCCCGACAGCTGGGCTCTGCTCCTTACTGGCCTAAATTCAGACCAGCTACTTAACTTCTCTGTGCTCAGGTTTCTTTTGCCTTTAAAAATGTGTATGAACACTATCTTCCTCATAAATTTGACATGAGAAACCAACACTGATAAAAGTGATTCCTAACACATTGTGACAGCTGTGTTTATTAACTAAGCAAATGAAAACTATTGGTCAGCATGTACAACCTGTGGCTGTATGTGATGGTAAGTGTGGCCTAGCACAAAATGGTGAACTCACTTAAAACAGTATGAGAGATTTTGGTGGGTTTTGTTTTCTTCCTTCCTTCCTTCCTTCCTTCCTTCCTTCCTTCCTTCCTTCCTT